TGGTTGTCCGAGGGAAACACCTTACTGCTGTCACACCCCTCTGCAGTCAGCAGTACGACTTCGCCCTCAGACATTGGGTAGCTGCTTTTGGTCTTATCGTTCTCCAATCGACCTGCCTTACATGGTAGGACCTGCAGGAACATGTGTTCCAGCCAGTATAGCTCGGTTGGGTCATCACGATAGGCAAGCCCGACCACCACGTCAAGGTAGCAGCTTCGGTCGGGATAGTGACATTAACAATTTAAAACCAATAGGTCATATATCCAATTCTACTATGCTTATTTTAGCGCGCCCAGATTGGATCATAGCTTTGTCTTGCTGCAAGTTGCTGATGCGGTAGTATTCAATAGTGATCGCATCGAGTGTCAGTGTTGGGTCTTGTTCAAGGCGGTTAAGAAACCGAGTTCTGATGTCGAAGAATCCGGGAGATTGAAGACAGTATATGTATATGAGGGATTTGAATTGGTCATCAGTGAGGGATATGAGTTTGAAACGTTTGCACTCAAGGTTGACAACGCCAGCATGAGTCATGAAGTTATCGGACTCATTCATGACCAGTTTGAAGCAGCGGTAATGAGTATTGAAAAGAGAGTGATCACCAAAAAGTTTTCTGAGAGACTAAACAGTAGCATCAAATGAATGTTCACGTGGGTTCTGCGGCAGGATGTAGTTGCAATACTGGTCCAGTTCTGACAGACCAAGTTTTCTGAGGTGAAGACTCACCTTCCATGAATCATCTCTGTCAGCAAAATCAAATTTGAGGAGGTATTAATAACGCCTGAACCATGTATCAAATGTAATATTGGCGTCAGGCTCATGTAGAAACTCTGAAATACCACTGGTCATACCATCGAGCAACTGAGGAATAGTCGGTGTAGATGAGACTTGAGAAGAGGTTTGCGTCTGAGTAAGCATCTCCATCAACTTCAGATGTTGTGCAAAAAATTTTCCTCATTTAGCTGCATCCATAAAAAGTCACCAGATCGTTTGTCCCATCCTCGTCGCCAACTGGTATGCTTAAAACTATTACGGGTTCACCTTAGTCGATAAACGAGAACAAAACAATGAACCAGCGTCCAAGTAGGCTCCTCTGATCCGATTGTCAAAATTGTACCAGAAAAAGTCTTGATATAGAGTAGAAAGTCAGTCAGCCAGTCAGTCAGTCAGTCAGATGCAACGTAGAACTTTGTACTTATGTACATCAGTTCATGTCGCCATACCACATCAGCACAGAGATGTAATTGTCAATTCAAATCCAATAGTAGAAGAGGTAGTAAATGCATTAACAGTGATCGGAGACGTTAGGATTAGAAGTTAGTATTCAAGAAGTATGATTCAGTGAGAAAAGTTTAGAAAGTCAAAACTGGAGGGATTGAAGAATCCAGAAGATTAGGATTTGAGAGAACACAAAGAATAAATGCACCGGCGCCATCGCGAACGATTTTGAGCCATGTCATTCAAGGTCTCTATAGCGTAGAAAGTGTATTCTACAAACACCCAGCCAGCACACAATAAATCCAAGCACACAAATCGCGTTTATTTATACACCATAGAGACGTCCTTGGGAGAGTCACAAAAATAGCACACTAAACTAACATAGTAACCAATCACAGCCAACGATTTTCGTGGGTGTGAAATGTGGTCTCAAGGTCAACTGATCGGCCCATGAAATAAATCCAAAATAAAGACATTTATCAAGTGAGTTCTGGGGATCTAACATCCCCAACAAAGAGTAGCAGTTTCCTCAGAATCTGTCTACATGTATTTAGTTCGGTGTTAAGAAATATATAACACAACATCCACCTGTTATTTCTTGTTTCAACTTAATCAAACCAAAAGGCATACAACTAAAATATTGCACAAAAATCAGAACAAACTATAATCAAACCTAAAAAAATAAATTTTACTTTTACTTACTAGAAACTGTACTATTTTCAACATCCAAACCAATACAAACATCACGAAGTACAATACCAATTGTACGAAATGTAGATTTTGTTGATTTCTCGGCTAATTTTAAACTATCAATATTTGGTGGTAGTAATGTACTACTACTACCACTACTACTAATAATACTACTACTACTGACTGGAGTCAACAAACAGCTGATTGAAGATGATGATTTTATAGTTGACATTTTAATTAAATGAATACTTAGATAAGTTAATCGATCTCGGTCATTTTTCTCTCCTGTTACACTACTACTATTTGATAGTGAGCAGCAAGAGCTGGAGGAGCGTAAAGACGAGGAGGCGGAGAAGGAGGAGGAATAGGCAGAGGAACAGGATAATGAGTCGAAATTATCAACTGTGGAATGATTCAAACGTAGGGTACACAAATCTGGACGAAGTTGTGCGCAAAGACCTATGTGCAATACAAAAAAAACCAATTACGAAATTTGTAATATTTAAAACACCAAATATATATATATATATATATATATTTATATATATATATGAGGTTGAGCAACTCCGTGAATATGATCAAGTTAGACATTAACACCGTTAGATACCGGCTCGGTGGTCTATCGGTTAGGGCGTTCGCGCACAATACCGAAGGTCCCGGGTTCGAATCCCGCGGGGTGCGGGAGTGGTGGATGCGGACTGCCACGGGGGAGTCCGACACCAGGACGAAGCGGCCGTGTTTCAGTGCTTCCAGGTTTCTAAAAGTGGTCTAACATTGACCTATTCGTGGTTTCAAAAATGTGTAACTTATCAATCTTCACAACCCCGAAATGCATAACTACATACGACTCGAAGATCGAATTGATTTGTAATGGTTGTTTGAATAAGCCCATTGATGTTTAGGACGGCAATTGATCGGTCCCTTTGGTTTATTCGCATCCTGTGAAGATTGTCTTGATATTGTCTTTAGGTTACTGGTATTAATAACGGAGGTGGATGATGGCTAGCAGTAGAATCTATCATGTGCATTACATCCTAATCATCACTTGTCAGTTGTGATGTACCTGCCACATCCTAGAGTGGATGTTCACTCCAGGACTCGAAATCAGTATCTTTCGTCTTAATTGTCATCATGAATGGTACTGGGTTCAAGTCTATTTTCCTATGAATCAGAACATCAAGGAAGGTTATAATCATATCGTTTTCCTCTTCACTGATGAATTGAATAGTTAGGTGCCAGTTATGAAAACTTGTTCAACATTTCTTATTTATGGATACTTCCCATACAAACGATTAGTGTATCATCTATATAGGTATAGACAGTAATAATTTAGCTTATTCAGGATGTAATTCACTTTCTTTAATGTTCTACTTTTCTAAATGAAGAGTTAGGACTGTTGATTGTATGCGAAATGCAGAAAAGTTGTGAACTTATTATTAGCAAAAGGTAGGCAACATAGCATATCTTCAACAGCTGGTTGCAATTAATCTGCAGACCTCGACTGACAGTGAATAAATCCAGAAACTGGAGCTTTACTAGGGTTCCTGCTGGTCCCAAGTCCGTATAAAAGAGGAGGTTTCGACATAGCGTTTGCGACCCCAGAAGAATAATTCTCTAGTCGGCGGTCTATTTGGTATAACAGGCATAAGTGAGTAAGTAGTAATTAGATATAATGTGTTGATTCAACAACACTTAACTTTCTTGAGACCAACTCCAGTTTCAGTAAACATTGTGCATTGACGCAAGAAGTGCTCAAATATACGTAAAATTCGCTCAAACCATGTCATTTGAGAAAGATTCACCACTTAGACAATCAATTTATAGTCATTACCTAAGAATATCTAATTCAGTTGCTCTACAATATGCGAGAAATGCTCTGAAGCAATCTTTGTTCAAGAACTCAAAGTCTACACAACCTATCTCTTCTACTTTTACACAGTGTAATTTAACTATCACATTAGAAGACTGTTAAACAGTGAATTTACTTGATTTCCACCCCACAATCATACATACTGTTAGTCCCACGAATAATGTCATATTCGCACAAAACAACCAAGCAGTATTTCCCTGGTCTTTGTAATCATTTCTAAATTTGAAAAAATGAATCTTTCAAAACGTCATCGAATACTGATAAGCTCAAACAGCAACACTACCATTCGTTAATGTACAAAACATTTATTTTGAAATTCATGCATTTTACATATTATACAGGGTAAATTTAATTATAACGACTCAACAAGCATGTGAACCAATCAGACGTGGCTAAATGACAAGGTCATTCGATGACCAACAGAAAATATCCTTAAAGACAAATGCATATCATTGGTCAAGAAATGGATTTATTTTCTAAGGGCGAAGTACGCACACACACGTACACACACTCACATAAACAACTTACTTACTTAATTCAAAACAATGATATTCACCATTCAACACTGTACGTAACATGAGTACCCCACTGGAATTTGATTGGTCAGTAGTTTTCTCCGATTTATTCCATGTACAAAGTATACGTAATTGGTCTAATTCATTGCAAAAATTATTAAATACTAAATGATTTTTATAATTAATTATTAATTCAATATGATCAGTGAATTCTTTCCAATCCCAACTGAAATTATAAACAAAACAACGAGATTGATAAAATAAACAGATAAAGTGGAATTAAATTAGATTTTAACCAAGAAATCATGAATGAATCATTGTAAGACCAACACATTAATTAGAAACCTCGAAGCATTGGACGACGGCCGTTTCGTCCTCGTAATGAGACTAGCTGATCGGTATTGCGCATCCACGACTCCGGTTTCCCACACGAGTCGAACCTAGGATGGTCATTCTGGCGAACAAATGCCTATCCTCTGGAACATTAAGACAGTATCTAACAGTGTTCACGACTAACTCTCTGTAATTCAATCTAAAGTATTTTGCGCAACCTCACCAATTATCTCTGTTAGTTCATCATCATCAATAGCAACGTAGAACTTTGCATGTAAGTACAGCGGTTCAAGAATTGACAATTCAAATCTCATAGTAGTAGAGGTAGTAAAAGTATCAGAAGTAATCGGAGAGATTAGGGTTCGAAGATGTTATTCAAGAAGTATAATTCAGTGAGATTAATTTGTACGGAGAAAGAGAGATTATGAGGAATTCAGAAGGTTAGAATTAGAGAGAACACAAGGAGTGGATGCACCTGCGCTATTGTTAACGCTTTTGAGCCATGTCACTCAGGGTCTCTAAACATCGATTACCATCATCTCGCGGACCCCAACCAGGTAGTCGACACCGACCAACATGACACAGTTCACTTATCAGTGACCTCATGGACTTCTCCCATGTTTTAGTCTGGCCGCCACTAGCTTTATTCCAACCTATTCCCATATCGCAAAACATAGCGCGACGAGGCAGTCGGTGGTCTAGTATACGTAACACATGTCTCAAGCACCAAAACTAATGAAGTTTCATTACTTCATCTACTGATCTGCCATTCTTACCTAGGACCCGTTTCCTAATGGCAACATTGCTCACTCGGTGGTTCTAGGATTCACCAGTAATGCTTCGGAGACACTTACGATAGAAAACCAGTAACCTTCGAATGCCCTCTACTCTTAAAGGCTATGTTTTGCAACCGTATAGTAGGACAGAGAGAACTGCTGCTCAGTACACTCGTCCTTTGGTTAACAAGCGCATATCTCGCCTACGCCATAAGTGTCAGTCAGTCAGTCAAATGCAACGTAGAACTTCATACTTAAGTACATCAGTTCATGTCGCCATCCACATTAGCACAGAGATGTAATTGTCAATTCAAATCCGATAGTAGAAGAGGTAATAAAGGTATTAGAAGTAATCGAAGAGGTTAGGATTAGAACATATTATTCAAGAAGTATGATTCAGTGAGAAAAGTTTGGAAAGAAAAAACTAGAGGGGTTGAAGAATCCAGATTAGGATTTGAGGGAACGCAAAGAATAAAAGTACCGGCGCCATTGCGAACGATTTTGAGACATGTCATTCAAGGTCTCTAACCATTGGTGACTTTCGTCTCGCGGACCCCGACCAAATAGTCTACATCTACCAACATAACTCAGTCCACTAGTCAGTGACTTCATGGGTTTCTGCCATGTTTTGGTCTGGTCGCCCCTAGCTTTCTTCCAACCTACTCCTACACTACAAAACAAAGCTCTTCGAAGCAGTCAGTGGTTAGGCATACTAGCAGCACATGTCCCAACCACCTCAACTGATGAACTGTCACTACTGCGTCTATTGATCTGCCATTCTTACCTAGCACCCGTTTCCTAATAACAGCGTTGCTCACTCGGGTGTCCCAGGATATACAAGCAATGCTTCGAAGACACCTATGATCGAAAACCAGCAACCTACGAATATCTTCTACTCTGACTGGCCATGTTTCACAGCCATAAAGTAAGACGGAGCGAACTACAGCGCAGTACTGCGCAGTAATATTGTTTAGGTAACGATGTATATTTATGCTTATGATGAATATTAGAACCGATATTTATCCAATTCACTTGTTTTGGATTTCAACTGGTTAAGACGAATGTCTAAACTTCCTTGAGAGTCATTCCTAAATCCAAACTCCGGTTTGGATCCTACAGAAGGTAGTCCAGAAAAATTGGCCATATAAAACCTCTCAGTTGCAATCAATATGTCAACTGAAACTTTACAATCAATACAATATACAATATACCTACCTCTCTACTTACTAACAGTAATAGTAATAACAACAAAAAAAAGGAAACGGAAATTAAAAAAGTCATATATATAACTTACATTGGTTTTTTTGTATTGCTTAAATGAAGTTTTGTTGGTATAAAGAATGGTGATAATTCTGAAAAAGGACAAAAGTACACACACACACATACGCGCATACACACACACAAAAGAAAAGCAACACTGTAATCAATATTTTCTTGAGATTTTTTTAAAACTGTTAATTAAATTGACTCAATAAAATATATAAATTGCTTTAAAACTACTACTACTGTGGCGTGTGCTACTTATACGAACGATATAAGTAGTATAAGAAGGGACGTGAAAGAAGAAGTCTCACTGTCAGAAGAGGAAAAAGGGAAAGCTAATGGAGCAAAAGCAAGAAGTAAATGGAGTACCAACAGGAAGGAAAGGAAGCAACAACAGGAAAGGAAGAAGAAGGATGGAGTGTTGGAAGTCACGACTCAAAGATGGTGTGCAAATAGAGTGTTCAATGTAATGTTTTCGTTTTTAATTGACTAAGAGTGTAAATTTGCATAATACAATCTTCCGCGCCTGCCTCAGTCTTCTCACTACTACTACTATTGAAGTTATCGGTAGAATGATACATTTGACGTATATAGGATAGTCGTAGTTAGAGGCAGTTGGACAGGAAACCTGTGAACCAAGGTTTTGCGCTATTCGGCAGTCCTCTTTAACGAATGGATACACCCTCTCTGATCAATAGAATTCGATGGAAACTGAAGAGTTGAAATACATATCATTGATCATGTATACGGTATAGCCATGGGTTCACCTCTAGGCATAATTCCAGCTGATCTCTTTCTAGCAAAGCTAAAAAACTGAACCACTTAAATGAAGCTATTCAGGGAATTTGATCTATAAATTGCCGTTACGTCGATGACACATTCATCATTGTAGATCAAGACATCAGAAAAGAAAAAACTCTTACAACCATTCAACAGTGTACACCCGGCAATCACGTTCACTGATGAAGAGGAATATGATAAAAAAACTGACTTTCCTTGACATCGCACTAAGTAGGCGAAGTGATGTTCACTAAATAAGCGTGTATAGAAAAAATCCCAGTGTTTGCCAATACACTCAGTTTTTGTAGTTTTACACCTATCCACAACAAAAGAAATTTGGTTAGATGTCTCACTGACAGAGCAAATATGATATGTTCAGCGGATACTTTAAGCCAAGAGCTGGAATTCATCAACGGCTCACTAACAGAGATTGGTTATTCCAGTGCATTCATAAAGAAGTATATGTTTGCCGTAAAAAAGTAGTCGGTGGTTTCGACTGCCCAAAAGAAGCCTTTATTTATTAAACTACAATTCAACAGAGATGTGGACTATGATACTCTGCAGGACAGGTTAGCGAAAGTAATTAGTAGAACATTGATTACAGCCAAACTTGCGTTGACCTTCTCAAGTCGACCAGCGATGTCTACCCAAACGAAGGATAAGTTACTTGACTTGACCTCCTCTATGTGCATTTACAAATTCAGCTGCTCCTGTGGAGATAGCTATATCGGGTGTACTAACCAGGCAACTTAACTAACAAATGAGTGAACATATCTCATCATGGTTTATGAACGGCCAGTTAAAAACCAATACACAGTTCTATCTTAGCACACCTGGTTGACAGTGGTCACATTGTAGATAAGTCTAGATCTTTTCGAGTGATCTATCGTATACCTCCATCATTTCCCAATGGAGTTCGATCCCATCTCCCACATATTGCAGAAGCCACAGGAATTTGTACATTCAACCCCAATTTATGAGTTCAGAAGAAATTCGTGACAGCACCTATCTCTTCCATGGCTGGATATGACGTAACTAACGATTGACATCATATTTTTTATTTTTACATATTTGCTTATTTCGTAATGGTTTTGATGTCTTTTGATGATTATTTGAAGTCTATTCATCCACGTTTGACATACTACTGATGCAACTTTAGTTATCATATTTTATAATTTTCTTACTACTATCAGTAGTACACCTGTCTTCCTACTATTATCCACTTGTACTTTTGCCTATTGGAGGTGTAGTGACGTAATCTATTTCATTTCATTGTGATGATTATTGACTCATAAATTGCCTTGATTCATTTAACATTTTCATTTATAAATATTCGTGTATATTAGAGAGAGAGAGAGATCTAATTGAAGACGACACTATTGTTCGCTTATATCTATGCTGTCCTAATTGTACATACATCTTAGTCATATATAAGGCCAGTGTTGTGGACATCTTATGGTTCAATGATAACGTGTCTGTGATATGAGATTCAATCCACCATGGGGCAAATCGATTTCCTCAAGATTACAGGTACATTTTGCTGACAAGCGTCGAATACCATGAAACCTATGTTCATAGATACTTTTAAATTACCGCCAATCAACACCTTATATCTTAACATTGTGTACATCCTATTTCAAGTCACTTAAATTAGTGCTCATGTTGTAGCCTGATCAATCGAATGTGATTAGCACTAAGACTGACTAAACATACACGACCATGATCCCTTATTGATTAACCGATCATTTGTAAACCTCGGATAAATTATGATGAAGTTTCTTACTCTGAGCTGGAGATATTTTGATTGTGGAGCATTCATTGTTCTTCTGAATACAACATCGTCATCAGCAGCACAAACTTTAGGGTAGAGAAGTGAAGTATTCGGGAATTTCTCCATGTATGATTCGTAGCTTGTCCGGTTGACCTCGATTTTCCTAGTGATCCAATGAATCAGCCGACATACGATTAAGAACCAAATCAAAGTGGGATACAATCAAAATAAAAATGCAGACAACGACAGGTTAACAGTCAATAACAACCAATCAAGATCGAGGTCAACAGGACAAAGCTACAAGTCATAAGTGGAGAAGATATTCGAATAGTATAATTCCTCTACTCCGAAGTTTATGCTGCTGACGATGATGTTGTGTTTGGAGCAAGGACGATGGCTCCACAACCTAATCATCCGGTTTAGCTACAGACTTTTTCCACCGACTAGAAATATCCAATGCATTTCCAGTTTTGTATGACTGCCTAAAGCATTGGGTAAACACATTTATTTGCTTCATTGTTGATGGATTGAGATGAAACAATAATACACTGTAATACTGAATGGTTGGGAAAAAAACACACCAGATTCCTTCAGCTGAGGAAGAAATCAGGAAGAAGCGCTGAAAGTGGATAGGACAGACATTGAGGAAAGCACCTAAATGAGCCACAAGACAAGCCCTCACTTGGAACCCTTAAGGTCAAAGGAGAAAATGGGAAGACCGAAGAACACATTAAACCGACGAGAAATGGAGACAGACATGACAATAATGAACAAAAACTGGACAGAAGGGGAAAGCAAGGCCCAGGACAGAGTTCATTGGAGAATGCTTGTCGGCGGCCTATGCTCCATTGGGGATAACAGGTGTAAGTTGGTGAGTAAGTAAGTAACTACTAAGTGGTTCCATCGTATTGTGTAGTGTAAATGTCTTATACATAACATGAAAGCATTAAACTCCAATATAGTTTACTGTATAAGTAAATACAGTATGCAAGTAAAAATACATTAGAATAGTTGAATTTGTATGTGGAAAACCACAGAACCTTTGCAAACTGTACATACTAATCACCTCATTTAAATCATGAATCGACTAATGTTAGAACACAATTCAAAACGTGGAAGCACTAACTAGATGGACGTTTCGTCCTAGTGTGGGACTCACTGGCAGCGCTCTAGCGTAAATCGAACCCAAGACCTTGTGGTTTCGCACACGAATACTTAACTACTGGACCACTGAGCCGGCATCCAACGGTGTTATTTTCTAACTCTCATCATCACCAAGACTTCTGTTACAGCTTGGGATTCAAGGTAGCCTAGCTGGACGCTGGTAATTGTCTCGTTTGCGTTTATCGACTAAGGTGAATTCGTAATAGCTTCAAGCGTACCTAGCGACGATCATAACAGGTTGTGAATGCGGACTTGGAGGTTTCTTTCTGATGGTGGTCTAATGATGATCCACTCATAATTTCAACGTAAAACAACAATCTTTATAACTTTAGAATCAAAAATCAATTATTTAGATTAGTAGTAATCATATATTATATATATATACTGCTCTATATAGAGCTGAATTTTTCCTATGAGAAACCAGAGGTTCTCTGTGATGAATATTGTGGATGGTTTGACATTGATTTGGCAAGTATTGTTAACAGTCCATAGACAGATTTAGTTAGCACGCTGACCAATTTCATTGATACTAGCGGTTGTCTTGTTACATCCCCGAAGCCCATTGTCATTGGGGTGCTGTATTGCTGCATATCACCATTGACAGTTATGTGTAAGCGAGATGCGTCAACTTGGACTGTTCATGCGGTGCATATTGCTTGACAAAGCGATCATGGAAATAATCACTATATATGTACTAGTGTATATATAAATGATGTGAATGGTCCACCACGATGTCAGGTACCACTCTGGTGGTTGCACCACGGGATTGAGTCAAACTGTTCATATCAAAATGCGAACACGTGGATAGTCTCCTTATTTCTCTTGAAAACCAATGTAAAATTACGCTTGACAATATAGATGGGTTAATTTATATAATACAATACGTAAACTACATGGATATCATCGGCTCAATGGTGTGTTAAGGTTAAACGCTTTTAATAAAACCTGAGAGTGCTAAGTTCAGTAAATTTCTCTAACGAGAGTTTGATACGACGTATGAAATAACTATGCTAATGGTTCTTGGTTGTGTAATCTAAAAAATATTTATTAAACAATTTAACAAATCAATGTCATTAATCAATAAATGACTAAGAACTTACGATTCGGTAAACCGCTTCGACCAGGTGTACTTTGTTTTAAATAACCTTTCTGTAATCTCGCTATCATATTTGTACTAACATAAGAATGTGCCTTTGAAAAGAAAAATAGTTTAGAAGAGAAATAATTTATTAGAACTGTGATGATTTGAAAAAAATTTATTTGTTTGTTTGTTTGTAAATCAATCGATCAATAAGGGGTTAGACCATTCATTTGGAAACCTGGAACCACATGTGTGAACAAATAACCTCTGGACCATTGACTAAGCCAGTATCTAACCGGAAAGTCTTGGGTTCCAATGCTGTGAGTAGCGGGAGTCGTGGTGGGTGAGCAGTGCCACTTACATTAGGATTGCTAATACCAGTTTCTTTGATAAGGCGAAAAAGTTGTCTACTGTTGCCGATCGCCTATGCTTTCGCCACCCACCACTGTTCGCGGTCGTTACTTAGGCTTTTTATAAGTCTGCGCCTAAGCTGACTTCGTTCTTCATCATGTTCAGAGTCAGGTGGGATGAGTTTTCGGGCATCCATCAGTTCGGTGGATGCTACAGAGATCCATGGCTCCATTCTAGACTTATGGTTAACCTTACTAGCAGATATCACTGCTGTTTCCACAGCCTTCTTGATATCATTCCAACCTGCCTCCGGATGAGAATCACTTACATGGTCGCCTAACTGTCTTTCTAGTTGTTCCTGAAATATATTCATAGCTCTGCTATCATTGATTAAACCATAAGAAGCTTTCTTATGGTGTCTTTCCTACGTCTAATAAGCCTCAAACAAATACGTGCTCGCACTAGGGCATGATCTGAATTTAAACATGTGCTCCAGAACGAGCGACAGTCCTCTATCGAACTCCTCCATTGGTGTCTGATGGCGATATGATCTAGCTGCGTCCAACGATGAAACGACTTCGGGGTCGCCAAGTCAAAAGATGTTTTTCCTTATGCCTAAAGTTAGTGTTTGTTAAGAATAGGCGGTCATCTGAGCAGAGTTGCAACAGACGGTCGCCATTGTCTGTTCTTTGTGCCGCGACACCATAACATCCACCTAGGTGTCTTTCCTGCTCACTTAGTCTACCTACTTGAGCATTAAAGTCACCAGCCACTATTACTACATCAGAGCGCCTAACTTTTTGGAGGAGGTTCGAAAGCTTTCTATAGGACTCATCTTTCGCTTGATTAGCCAGTCCCACACTAGGAAGAAACGGCCATTTAGGCAGTATTTCCAGGTTTTTAATAGCGGTCTAATATTATTAATGTTTAATATATAATTACTGGTACAGTGGGGCGAATATGTGGATATATATATATATATATATATATATATATATATATATATATATATATATGGCAAACAAACAATTGAATTTGTGAGTCGACTAGGATATTGTTTTGATGCTGAAAACCAGGACGCTTGGCTACTAAACTAGCCTTTGACACAAAAGTCCAACTGACAAGACAGTAGAATAACGTTAACAGCGGCAACCTCAAGGTAGCCAGTAATCAACAATAAATAGGTTTATACTCCGTTTGTACTCTCAGGGTCTAGGAGTCAATGTGCATTATAAGTTTGAAATAATGGTTATACAATTTCTCTAGGCGGACCCTTTGTACCCAGCAAATTGCTTTAATCCCCTAACATTCATTTTCCGTCATCTCGATTTCCCAAACAACACCTCCCTCTCATAGGAACGCAGTGGATAAGCCTTTCTTGGTGGTGACTATATTATACAAGTAGCCATATGGGAATTTCGATTGGAAGAGTGAACCCTTCCCACTCTTTGTCGTACCAAGGCATTTGAGGACACAATGGTAAATTTGTGCTAATGAGAGGATCGCTGACAAAGTTCACAGTCAAAAAGTCATAAGAAATCTTCGAGTAGTACATGGAATAGATTGATCTGGTACGGTTTATCTTTAAAAGACAGGGACACCGTAGACGGAAATCCGTGGGATAAAGTGAAATGCCGCATTTTTGGAATCGACCTGTTCTAACCCCCTTCCTTCTTTTTGAGAAGGCAGCATCGCTACAGATGCTGGTTGTCCAACAGAAACTCCTTAATCCTGTCACAATCCTCTTCATTCAGTCAGAAGTACAACTTCGCCCTCAGAACTTGAGTAGCTGATTTTAGTCTCATCATTCTCCAGTCGACCTTCCTGACATAGTAGAACCTACAGGAAGTTTTGTTTCATTCAATATAGCTCGGTTGGGTCATCTCGATAGGCCAGCTCAACCACTATGTTAAGGTAGCAGCTACGATCAGCTGGTGTTGTAATACTACTACTATCTGGTTGCTTCAAAATTAAGTGATTGAGAAATGGACTTTGAAACTGTGACTTACTAATTAAATCAACATTCTCTCTAATCATCAAATCACTGTGTGTGCAATTGAACACACGAAGGAAATAAACTTTGACGATGATGTTGATGATACAGTCAGTTAGTCATTCAGTTACAACGTAGAACTTCGTATGTATGTACATAAGTTCATGTTCACATACCACATTAGCACAGAAACGCAAATGTCAAATCAAATCCCATAGTGATAAAGATAGTAGAGGTATTAATGGTAATGAAGAAGATTAGGATAACAAGATATTATTCAAGAAGTATAATTCAGTGAGATAAGGTTAGAAAGACAAAGGTAGAGGTGCTGACGAATCCAAAAGATTAGGATTTGAAAGAGCACAACGAATGGATGCACTTGCGCCATTGCAAACGATTTTGAGTCATGTCATTCAAGGTCTCTAACCATCGATTATTATCATCTCAAGGACCCCAACCAGGTAGTCTACATATACCAACATGACTCAGTCCACTAGTCAGTGACTTCATGAATTTCTGCCATGTTTTGGTCTGGCCGCCCCTAACTTTCTTCCAACCTACTCCTACACCACAAAACATAGCTCGTCGAGGCAGTCGGTGGTTAGGCATTCGTAACACATGTCCCAACCACCTCAACTGATGACGTTTCATCTCTTCATCTATTGACCTGCCATCCTTACCTAGCATCCGTTTCCTAACGACAGCATTGCTTACTCGGTTGTCCCACGGTATACGAGCAATGCTTCTTAAACATCTATGATCGAATACTAGTAACCTACGAACATCTTCTACTCTTAACGGCCATGTTTCGCAGTAGTATTTAAAATGATCCCTATACCTTAACTTCTGAAATATTATTTTCAATGCCATATTGTTACCATATCTTAATTTAATGAAAGTATACTTGTTTTTTTCTTCTAATACACCATCATAAATGACATTTTTTGAGAGTACACCCCTTTCTATCCCCTTTTTTTTAATCCCATTGCAGAAAAGTATTGTATTTTTTAATTTCTGCAATGGATAATTACAAAAAATAATAATAATCAGAAAAAAGTAAAGTAAATTTAGTATACCACCGCCGTACAATAAATATTTTTCAAACAAATCAATAATCAATTCAAATCACGAGCAAAAACAATCATTATCCATTAGTGTACAAAAATTGATGTGGGGTTTTTAATTGTTTCTACTAGTTTTTACAGGCAGATATGATGAAAATGAATAAATCAGAGATTGACTATTATTATGATTAGAAGTAGGAGTAGTAGTAGCAGTGGGAATAGTAGTAGTGGGAGTAGTAGTCGGAGTAGTAATGTGAGTAGTAGTAGTAGCAAAAGTGGGAGTAGTAGTAGAGGGATTATTAGTGAAGATTTGTTGAAGTAGTGAATCTTCATTAATTGACGTGGTTAGGATATTGCTGAAAGACAGCTAGCGGCGGCCAAAGTAAAACATGGCACAAAACCATGAAGTCACTGAGAAGTGGACTGAGCCATGGTAGTAGGCATATACTGCCTGGTTAGGGTCCGTGTGTTGGGGATGTTAGATCCCCAAAATTCGCTTGATAATGCCGTATTTTGGTTTTCACGTTTCGCCAGCATGGGCTGATCAGATGACCTTGAGATTTCAATTCCCACCAGCAAAATCAATGGCTGTGATTGGCTGCAGTGTATTTTAGTATGCTATTTTCTTAACTGTCTCAAGGACGTTCTTATGTTGTATAAATAAACGAGAGTTGTATGCTTGATTGTACTGTGATTGCTGGGTGTTTGCAGAATATACTTTCTACGCTTACAAAGCCTTCTATTCCGATTTTGGGTATTCAAGGTAGCCTCCCTGGAAGCTCGTAAAAGTCTCGTTCGCGTTTATCGACTAAGGTAAACTCGTAATAGCCTCAAGCATACTAAGTGACGAACTTATCAGTGGCGACGGTGCTTTTGGAAATATGGATCCTGCCAAACTTGAATTACTACTTGAGCAGCAGCTGAAACTGATGCAGATGTTGACAGACATGAAGATTTCCCCTTCCACACAGCCCAGCTCATCTAATGCAACCACAGCTCCATCGGTCGACGGCATCGCAAATAGCATATCTGAATTTCATTATGATCCTGATGCAAATGTCACTTTTGACATGTGGTTCCGGCGTTATGAAGATTTATTTAAATTTGACTTCGCCAACCAAGATGATGCTTGGAAGGTTCGGCTGCTACTTCGAAAGTTGGGCGCAAGTGAGCTGGATAAGTACTGTAATTTGATCCTGCCTTTGAACCCACGAGATTGTTCGTTTTCTGAGACTGTCCAGACTTTAAGCCAACACTTTGGAGACAACTCGTCACTATTTAATACTCGTTATCGATGTTTGAAGCTAATTATGAACGAAGATGATGATTTTCTTACGCACGTGGGCATCGTCAACCGTGAATGCGAACGTTTTCGGTTGAAGTCTTTGTCGGAAGACCAGTTCAAAGCCCTTATACTCATCTGCAGCCTCCAGTCGAGTAAGTTTAGTGACATTAGAACAAGGCTACTAAGTCGGTTGGAGCAAGATCCAAAGCTTACGCTTAATGATATGGCTCATGAGTACCAACGTCTCACTAACCTACAACGAGACTCAACTATAGTTCAGAGTGGTAGTTCAAGCCGATCTGAAATTCATTTGGTACAGCAGCCACCTAATCATTATAAGTCTGCCCGTGCTACACCCAGTTCACCCCGCTCCAATTCGGCCCAAAAATCCAAAATGAATCCACCTTCTGCTTGCTGG